TGTGGGGTTGTTAACCAATGTCATAAAACAACATGTGTACTACTGTTTCATGAGAAACTATTTGTTCTGTAAGCCTTCACCTGAAGTACAATAAAATAAAAAAAAACAACAACATGATGCTGAGTGAAAGAAACTAAACATAAACACAAAAAACCACATATTGCATGACTGCATGTCTATGAAATGTCCAGGAGAGGCAAATCCATAGAGAGAAAGTCAACTAGTGTTTGCTTAGGGCTGGGGGAAGGGGAGAGTGGAGAATGACTGCTTACAGGTACAGGGTGCTGAATAGGAAAATTAATAATAGACATCTTACTTTCATTTTAAGGTGTTTCTTACCCAGGAAACCAAATATTAACCATAAAACACCTGACCCAAACTGCAAACGCCTGCCAGAAGCAGCTCTATAGCAATGTAAATTTGTCTTATCCTGCTAGAAAAGGATAGCTGTCAAACCATTACCTCCTAATTTAAATCTCAAAAAGTGTCATGGCTGCAGGTGGGTGGAAGGCCAAATTATTAGCAGCCAGGCCAGAAGTAACCTGATATCAGTTGATCTCAGTAAAGGAGGAAGGCAGGGTTCAATTAATCATGTTAAGATGAGCCAATGGCTGAACTTCTATTCTTCTCCCTCCTCTTCTCTTTATAAGCCTCACTGTACCTAGCCTCTCTGAGCCATTTGCTTTTTCTGGAATCAAAATGGCCTCCCTATATGCATATAGAATAACTGCACAGAATAAACCTTGTGTTCAAATTTTGGTGAGTTTTGATTATTTTTATCAAGGGATTCCTTTTAGGGTGATGAAAACGTTCTGGAACTAGATGTGATGGCTGCACAACATTGAGGATGTACTAAATGCACGTTAAAGTGGTGACTTTTATGTTGTGTGAATTTTACCTAAATAACAAAACCTTTATATTAAAAAACAAAAAGATGAACAAGGCATGATCCCTGCCTTCCAGGTGCTTAATTTCTTCTCTGAGGAGCCTGCTGAACCTCGCACATCTTATTGGAAGGGAACATACCCCAAACCTGTTCACACCAGGGTGGTAGTGCCGCCTCAGACTCGGCCTTCTCCCACCACAAGGAGGGCTGGGGGTGGGGGTGTGAAGGGGTGGGAGGAAGGCACAAAAAGAGATACTGAGGGGGCGCTAAAGACACTTTCCACTCACCTTCTTGACATTTATTAGTCCATATTATCTTTAAAGAGCCCTGGTGGAGCAGTGGTTAAGAGCCTGGCTGCTAACCAAAAGGTTAGCAGTTTGAATCCACCAGCCACTCCTTGGAAATCATATAGGGCAGTTCTGCTCTCTTCTATAGTGTTGCTATGAGTCGGAATCGACTCAGTGGCAACGGGTTTGTTTTGTTTTATATATACATATATATATAATAGAGAGACCTCTTTAAAGTGTTGAAAAGCAAGATGTCACTTTGGGGACCAAGGAATGCCTGACCCAAGCCATGGTGTTTTCAATTGCCTCATATGCATGTGAAAGCTGGACAATGAATAAGGAAGACCCAAAGAAGAACTGACACCTTTGAATTATGGTGTTGGCAAAGAATAACCATGGAATTCCAGAAAAACTCAAAATCTGTCTTGGAAGAAGTACAGCCAGAACGCTCCTTGGAAGCAGGGATGGCAAGACTTCATCTCATATACTTTGGACGTGTTATCAGGAGGGACCAGTCCCTGGAAAAGGACATCATGCTTAGTAAAGTAGAGGGTCAGCCAAAGAGAGGAAGACCCTCAACGGGATGGACTGACACTGTGGCTGCAACAATGGGCTCAAGCATTAACAACGATTATGAGGATGGCGCAGAACTGGGCAGTGTCTCGTTCTGTTGTACACAGGGTCGCTATGAGTCGGGACTGACTCGACGACAGGCGCCTAACAACAACAACATGGCTAGCAGATGTATGCAGTTTCGAGGGGTATGTAAAGCAGGAAGGCTCTAAGTGGCTAAAAATCTGCTTACTTGGGTGTTTTTTTAAAACAATTGATATGTTCAAATTTGAGTTTGGCGCTGGTGGGATTTTTTGGGCTAACAGGCCTCAGCTTGCTATGAAGAAGTACAATACACAACACACAGGGGCCAATACACAGAGGCCATCTTTGACTCATTTACAGAACACAGCTTCTCTCCCCTGAGAAACCTGACCACTCCTTTCCATCTTCTAGCATGGCTTTTAATTAGCAGAGGGGACATGGCCAGATTATCAGGAAAGGAAGAAGGGGAAGCACAAGGTTTTCAGTGGCTGAGACAGCACAAAGTCCCATCGCACTAAGGTGTACACATCTTCGTCATCTCCCTGCATTTCTCAAAACTTTCCCAGCAAAAACATATGGGAGGGAAGGGTACTGTGATTAATATGAACGAGCTGCCACCACCCTCAGGGTAGCAGCATTTCACGCTGAATGCCAGAGTCACAGCCACCTGCAAAGTTTGCATTTTGTAGATTCTTCTCTTTAAGCTCTGGGCAGGGCATATAAGAAAAAGAAAAGTGGAGAAGGCTCAGATTCATCCATGTAACACAGCTGTGACGCCCATCCCCCTGCCCTGGGGCTGAGACTCTGTCCACGGTCCCTGGCATTGTCAGGGCCGATCAACAGTGCAGACCGAGTCAGCCCCAGGTCCTGCACCTGGCTTCTGGAACTGCAACCTCAGGTCTGGACTTTCCTGAGTTATTTCCATCCAAGCACCGCTCGCAACGCCCCCTCCCAAAGAACAGTTGCTCCCCGTTCCCCACTAGGTCCTGGCGACAGCTGTTCTCCCTTCAGGTGCAAAGAATCCCAAGAGGGTGCAGCCGTCTGATGACCCCACAGTGAAGGAAGAGGGCTGGGAAAGGAGTCGGCGCTCCCCCGTCTACTCCCCTCCAGTCCCCTGGGATGCGCCGCGGGGACGCTGGACATCTTCGCGGCCCAAGAGCTGTCCCTGTCCGGAGCCCAGAGAGGTGGGACAGGTGCTCGTGGCGGGGGGGGGGGCTCCCGCCCCTCCTCGGGTCGGCCCAAATTCTGCAGCCAGCCTTTACCTGAGCGTTTCCCCTGAGCGCGGCCAGGACTCGCAACTCTTGCGCGCGGCCATCTTGGCTACGCCCCCTCGCACCTCACCACGCCCCTCACGCCCGGGACTCCTTCCTTGTGTTCATCGTTGCCACGCCTTCGTCCGCCTGGGCGACGCCCCCTCGGCCGGCCTTTCGTACCGACGTAGCCACGCCCCTCTCAACCGGGCCCGCCTCTCCCGCTGCCGTCTCCGGTCTCTCGCTGCGACCACGCCCACGCCCACGCGCTGCGGCTTGGCCCCGCATCTCTCCCCCGGCCACGCCTCTTCCCTGTCAAGTTCCCCCAACTCGTCTGGTCCCGCCCCTGCGCTGCGTTCTGGCCACATCCCTGTAGTCCCCATGGGTCACGCCTCTCGCTCGCCATAGGCCACTTCCCTGTGATTCGTATTGGCTACGCCATCCCGCCTGTAGGGTCGCTACGAGTTGGAATGTACTCGTCGACAGCGGGTTTGGTTCCCGCCTGGGCATAGGTAGCTGAGTTCCTTCCGGCTTAAGCTCCAAGCTCCGCGCCGTGCCCCAGTTCCCAGGCCACCGGGTCCTTTCCGTTCTGGTCACGCGCCGCGCGCCCCAGGGGCGGGGCCTGGTCCTGGGAACCCGAGCTGCTGGGCTGGGCCGCCGGGGCTCCGTCACTGTGCACAGGGTCTAGCCCGATGTGTTCATCTTGTCTCTTTCTGCCCCTTAGCCGACCTGCAGTGCTCGGCAGCCCCCGGGGTGCGCAGCCCCCTCTCCTTCCTTCTGTCTCCTCCCGGTGGCCTTGCCGAGCCCCCAACGCCTCTTCCTGCCGAGGGCCTGACAACACCCCCACTTGGTCGATCCTCTGGCCCCCTCCACCGAGATTACTGTTTTCTCCTTACTCCTCCATTTACAGCTCTGGGTCCACAAGAAAATGTGAAGAGTCTGTAACCAGCTTTCTTCCCTGTCCAGAAATCTCTGAACGGGCGCTCCTGGGGGCGGGACACTGTCCCTTAACCACTCACGCACTTCTTCGTTCAAACCATGTTGATGCAGTGCTCTGTGCCAGTGACAAGTAAGGCCAGCCTCCAGGAGCTTACAGCCTGCAGCTGCCCCAGCCTGAGTGTTTGAATGGGAGGAGAAACGCTGAGAGTTAAGCAAGGTAAAAGATTTGGTAAGTGCGGGTCTCCTTGATCCAATTAGCAGGAAAATTTTCTGCAGCAAATATTGGAAACTACTGTTAGAGTACTTAGTACAGTCCTTTACACAATAAATGCCCAAGAATTCTTCATTGAATGTTTTCCCTTTACACATGTGTAGAGAGCTAATTTTCCCTCTCATGTCAGTAAGATTTGCTAGTTGTATTTCTTCAGGTGCCAAAAATACGGATTTTAGGATCACATATTAGTTCCTGTCTTAGGCTGGGTTCTCTAGAGAAGCAAAACCAATAAAACATATATATGTATATGTATGTATACATATATATAGAGAGAGAAATGATCACATCATCATATGACTGCCAAACTGCATCATAACTGCCAAATCACTGAGAATCATGGCCCAGCCAACTTGACATACAACCTTAAGGATCATAGTTCCCTTCTCTTTTCTTCTCTTCCCACCTTCCATCCATGTCTGCCTGAACACAGTGAGAACATTCCCAGCGTTCCACTAGAAGGAACACAGAAGAACAATTTTCAACAGAACACTTTTATGAAGCTCATCCTGACCCTGAGAACCCCATGACCCTGAGAACCCTGCCTCATTTATATAAAATGGTTCAACTGTCTGTCATTTCTTGGCTGAAAAAATTAAACTCACAGGAAATGGGACCAAATACAGCCTGTATAAGGTCTGTGCTCATTTGTACACTGTTAGCTCTACCTCAAGGAGCCCTGGTGGCGCATTGGTTAAGCGCTGGGCTGCTAACCCAAAGGTTGGCAGTTAGAACCCACCTGAGGCTCCTCAGGAGAAAAGACCTGGCAATTTGCTCCCTTAAAGATTAACCCATTGCCCTCGGGTTCCAATTCATAGCCACTCTATAGGACTGAGGTAGAACTGCCCTACAGGGTTTTCTAAGTTGTAATCTTTAAGGAAGTTGACTGCCACATCTTTCTCCCTCCGGTAAAGATAACAGCCTAGGAAGCCCTATGGGGAAGTTCTGCTCTGTTCTGTAGGGTTGCTGTGAGTCAGAATGGGTTGCTGTGAGTCAGAATCAACTCGAGGACACACAACGACAACAACTCTCCCTCACCTTCTTCCACCAATGATTTGAGGCAGCTTACCAAAATATGGACAATACTGGATGAAAGAAATAGTTGAAGGACTCAGGGAGAGGAGAACTTAAAGGAAAGAGATGCAGCCAATGAGAAGATTAACTCTGAGGAATGCGTCCCGTTGGATCCTGAACTTTTTTCCGAGCACAGAGGGAACATGCCCTGGTTAAAGGGGGGCCAGAGATTTGACTCCAAGCTTCAGGATGGCCATAGAAAAGAGAGATAACAATCATTTAAGACTTTTCCAGTGTTCATGAGGTAAAAATCAGCCAGGGCTTTGCTTGTGTGTTTTAGAGAAGCACAGGTTTTTCTTGATTTTTAGTCCCAAGAGAAATCCCGATTCTCATGAAGATGATGTTGTGAGCTAAGTATCACAAGGAATTACACACAGATCCCCTCAATGTAAACTGTTGCCAGAATCACAAAGCCTAATGCATCAAATCAGTTCTATGAACCATCAAAGCTTTCCTGTTCTGAGTGCACAGGCCCTTGATGGTCTGCCTCAATCCAGGGTAGTATTAAGATCATTGTTCCCCAGGATGGCAAGTTTCATCTTACATTTCAACTTCAGTCCATTCATAGTGACTGCCTGAATAACTGTGCTAGGAAGTTTTGTGGCTAAGTCCAGACTTGGAAAAAGTTCTGTGGTTGATTAACAATGTCCGTCAAGGGTGCAAGATGGGTGAGTAGTTGCGTGCAACAACCCATCTGGCATCTCTGATTTGTAGGAATAGAGGTCTTGTGTGCAGGTCTTTAGCCAGTCCTCAAAAACATTTGTCACATAAGGATTTTGATAAATTTCAGACAGTACAAGGTTCAAGATCATTGTCGCTGGCCAAAACCTAAGATCAGAAACTGAGATGTTGATTAATTTATATATATATATATATGTATGTATATATATGTGTGTGTGAATATGCATATATATAATATATATATATAGTATATTAACCAGGATGAGGATAATTTAAGGTTCGGTTCGAAAAATGAGAGCATGTACCCAAAAATGTTTGTGGACTAATGACCCCTCCACCTTTTTATAGAGGTTGTCAAAGGAAGTTCCCATGGGCAAGGCTAAACACTTCTGGGTGATTTCCAACTGGAAGCCAAATGGACGATCAGGGACTGAAAATCCTATCATAGAGCATGGCTGCAATAATTTTAGCCTAGAAAAAACAAGCATTACCTGCCACGACCATGAGAAAACTCTCAATATAACACCCCAAGCAACAGTGGAAACAGTTAAACATATACTAAGAAGTAAAGTCTTGCTTTTATTACAGAGAACTCATTATAACGTATTGATCTTCATTCACAAGATGAAACACACATACAGACCCACATGCACCCCATTTAAGAAACTGTCCTTTATATTCCTACCTCAGGAATATAACGTTGGCCAAATTATACTCACTCAGTTTGTCTGAATTAATTTTTATTTCCATGGAGTGGTGATTAACTTTCTCTGAAGTAAAAAAAAATGTTATCCTATGAAAAATAAGACTAAGTTCATAATGGTTATATGTATTAATTAACTTACAAAATTTGATGAGTCTTTTCAATCTCTTAGTTTCGTAAGATTTTTCATCCTAAAACAGTGCATAAGGCATCAGGTCAGAGACAAAAATATTCCAAAGCCCAGGTTTCCTTGGTTATTATAGATCCTGGAAGTTGTTTTTCTCTGGATCTGAATGACAAAAAAACCACGTAATGCACCTCAACATTCCCAACAGTATTGAGCTTCTTAGAACTTCAGTTTATGATTCAAATTAGTCAGTTCAGTTTTATTCAACAGTCAAGTATTCATGGGCTATGAGAAATGCAAAAATGAACCAAATATAGCCCCTGCCCTCCAGAAAGTATACAAAAGTAAATCATGTTGACTAACTGTTTAATGAGAAACTATCTGTTCTGTAAACCTTCATTACAATAAAAAAAATGTAAATCATGTTGACAATGGATACATATAAGAATGTGAACAAAATACTGTGGGGATACAGGAGGAGAGGAAAATCAAAACTCAGTGGATTCAACATGTCAATTATAAAACTAAAAAAGCAAAAGAAAAGAAAGGTTCCTCAAAGGAAGTAATAATTGGGGGAGACCAGGAGTAATGGCTAAGATGTTTAAAGGGAAAAAAATGAAAGCTCACTGTATTCAAGTTACGGGCATCATACAAACACACACGAAGGACAGAGCCCACTCATTAAAAAATCTTAGCAAAAAAAATGATGAAGTACCCCAACTCTTATATTATTAAGCATTTAAAAAAATCTCACGATCAATTATTCTTATTTTCCAACTAGGCCTTTTGGAATCATGTGATACATTGAAAGCTACATAAACTCCAATTTTCCATCAAAAATTTGTAATCTAACATTATTATTACAAACACCCATTGAGCACTTACCATGTGTAAAGGCCCAGCAGTAGGCCCACCACTAGGTCCATTTGCCAGGTGGTGAATGGAAGGCCCAGAGATCCTGGCAGTGTTTTTAAATAGCCCTAATGGGATCAACTGGAGGAGGGTGGGGAGAGGAGGGGTTTCAAGGCTCCAGTGGGGACACAGGAGGGAGAGACAGCTTCCTCCACAAACAGCATTTGTGGGAATCCACCCCCTGGTCCCAAGAGTGAGGTACTGCAAACATGGAGCGTGTTCTTGTAAAGCATTCCCATCTTGTTAACTCAATGCTCACAGCAAAATGTTTACTAAGAACATTCTTTGAAGGGGATAAAATCTGAGTATAAAATTCTTATTAAAAATTGAAGCCAGATCTTTTCCCACAAGTCTCAAACAGAGAAATAAAATAGGCT